CTGGCCCTTTTCCGGAACAGTGTTCCGGAATAAGGACTTATGCCTGAGCAGGAGCAGAATACTTTTTTGGAATAGCGGCTGATTTTGTACAGTACAGCGTCGTTGCTTTTCTGGAAATTCAAGGGCCAGTGTAGACAGCTCGCAGCTTATTCCGTAAAAGTGGCTGATTTTCTGGAATAAGTGGCCCAGTGTAGATACAGCCCAGTGGCAACAGCAGCACCAACAACAGAGGCCTTTTGACAACCAGCGTTCTCGCCGGAGGCCTCAACGACGCCGAAACCTGAACAGCAGAACGAACATGACTTCCAACAGCAAGCAACAGATTTGATGTGTTGGTCGAGGGCGAGCACACAGCCACAGGCAGCACCGTGAATCGTTCAACCCAGCTATTCCACTACCGTCTAAGACCCTTTCTTCATCAATGGGCAAAAATCACCACGGACAAATGGGTCCTCGAGATTGTTCAGTTCGGCTATCCTATCCCTCTCATAGCCATCCCACCAACCACCCCTCCCACCCAGTCCCTCTTCAGGGACCCCGCTCACGAAACCCTCCTCAGACTAGAGGTCGACTGCCTTCTCTTTCTGGGTGCCATAGAGCCAGTTCCGAAGGACTTCAGGAACAGGGGCTTTTACTCTCACTATTTCCTCACCCAGAAAAGGTCCGGAGGCTGGCGCCCTATCCTAGACCTCCGTCATCTGAACAAATTTCTCGGGAAACAACGATTCAAAGTCCCAGCCTTCCCTGCCATAATCCCTATTTTAAATCCACAGGACTGGTTTGCTGCCCTCGACCTCCAGGACGCCTATTTCCACGACCCTATCCACCCTGCTCACAGAAGGTTCTTGCGCTTTGTCGTGGCGAAGGACCATTTTCAATACAAGGTCCTCCCCTTCGGGCTATCCTTAGCCCCCAGGGTGTTCTCAAAGGTCCTATCCGTGGTCACGGCCTTTCTCCGACGCCAAGGGGTGCTCATCTTCCCTTATCTGGACGATTGCCTGCTCAAAGGCGCTTTGGCACACGAGATCTCCCACATGGTTCACCTCACGATGCAAGTCTTTCGATCGCTCGGACTCCTCCTCAATGAGAAGAAGTCCGTCTTGCATCCCACTCAGGACATCGAGTTCATTGGGGCC